CACTCAAAGAAATCACAGCTCTCTCCTACCACACCCATTTTTTTAATGGAAGGAAAAGATGCTGCCTCATTTTTACTGACGCAGCACTAAGCACAGAGGCTTTGCTTTGGAATTAAAATGGAACGATCTTACAGAATTTTCTGAACAATAGTTCCATCTACAAAGATGAATGAACATTATAAGATAGTGCCAATAAATAATATAAAGAAGATCGAGTTTTCATCTGCCCTCACAGCTCCGCACACCAGGCTGTGACAGCTGCAAACACGTTGGCTCTTTGCATGCACACCTGCAGACGTAGGTGACCTTCTGAGAGGTGCTGAGATTCCCCAAAACTCTTTTCTGGCAAAAGGCTCAGGAAGGGGGGGCACAGCATTTCCCAAGATTTGCCTTAAGAGCATGAGCATTGAGAGCAAAGAGTGTGTCTCGAAGGAAGACATCAGCTGGAGATCTCCAACCAGGACAGACCACCTGATGGGACAGACAGAAGAGGGAGGTGAAGTTTGGAGTGGGAGGGGATGTGGTTTCCAAGGGTTTAACAGCAATGTTTCTGTGCATTTCTATGTGTGCCTGTGAGACCTTCTGCCTCTCTCTGTGTATATGTGGGACTGTTACAGTGCTAATTTAATGTTTATTGCCTTTGTTGTGTAGATTAAAAAAGCATGTCACCTCTAATGAATTGCAAACTTGCTATGTTGAGAAAGTCAGGCAGCTTCTCTACAACACTGCAAGAAAGCTGCTTTGTTTTCTTGCCTGTGCATTTCTGTGGCATTCTGCAATTCTGCAAGGTCTGCATTATATTTCTTTGCAGCACTTCCATTTTTTTAGAGGGCAAAGTCCCAGCTGTTCTTGCAGACATCTGATTTTTGGAGATACACAATGGCCTCCCTCGTCTTGACAATTATGGAAGTTTGATGTAGTGTCTGAAATGGAAAGGGTTGAAGTTAAAACAGGAAACGTAATTACACCATCATCTGAATCACTGGTACACACCTATACAGAAAGTATTGTGAAGTTCTGGTTCGTAGTCCTCAAAAGCAAAGACATAGAGAAGCACTATGGGGTCATTTGGAGCACTTCTGTAAGAGGAGGATTTTGTGACATATCACCTTGAAAAGGAAACTGAAGGAGGGATATTATATAGCTATGAAGATGCCTGCATAAGGACCATTCATTTCAACTGCTGCACAGAATGAAATAAGTGCTTTTCAGAGATAGAGAAGAAATACTCAATTTCAGGGGGGAAAAATCAGTGAGGACTTTTACACACAAGGATATCTAGATCTAAAAGCTGCCAATTCATGAAAGCCAAGAGAATATCTGAGAAATCATAATTCTATTGTTGTGGAGTTCATGATATCCATTTCACACATACAGGCTGTACAGAAGCATCTGCTTCTGGCTGAGGTCAGATACAGGATGCTGGATGAACTTTGGCTCAGATTAGCACACCTGGCTATTAATCGTGTGCAGATAAACAGGCATTAATTGATTGTTGAGGAGCTCCAAAAGGAAGCAGGTCCATCAAGGACTGGAAGGAAGTGAAGTGGTGCCTGTTAAACATATCACAGTGGATGCACTCAGCAGTCCTCCAGCAGACAGAGGATACTGGGAATAAATATGGATGAAAGCATATTCTGTGGGGGGCACAATTTTTGTGTTCTTTCACCAAATTGCTGTTCTGTGGGAAACAGAACGCTGGGCTTTATGCTAACATGATATAGCAACCTTGTTCTTGGGCTCCATGCTGCCATTAGCACAGGGACAGCCAGATCCACCTGTGTAGATGAAAAGAGAGGTCTTGGACCATTTGGGGACACAGGGAGATTGTTTTGCTGACTTCGATATTCTCCCCTCCAGACATTGCCTGCCTGGGTTCCCACACATACCTACACAGCAGGTTTTCTGACGCCAAGAGCAAGTTCCAAATGCAGCAAATGGTTTGGGGCAGACTTTGGAACGGATGCAGTACCCGTGGTAGCCAACACAACGTGAGGTGTCTCTGGGCAAGCTGAGACCTGCAGGAAGAATTGGATTCCCAGTTGTGCTGCAGGATCAGTCCATGTCTCATGATCTTCCTCCTGCTGAAACCCCGTGGACCCCTATTAGGGGTGTGACACAAAGACCACCAAAGCACAAAACAGTTTGCCCAAAAGTTTTGAGAATGCTCATGGACCTCGCAGGACTCCAAAGAAGGACTTTGTACAACTGGAGAAAAACAACGCCTGTTGAGTTTCTGAACATATCCTACTCCCTGCACATCATGCACATCACCTTAAGTTCCAGGGCTGCAATGCTGCAGGCTGGTCATGGGAGGGAGAGCAATGTGCTTGCATGCCCTGAGCTGTCCCTGTAACTTAACCAAAATTAAATGTTGGGATCTGGTCCAGTCACCGCTGAGAAAATATTTATCTGATTCCTTCCTTTTTGAAAGCCTTATCCTAAGATGGGGAGCTTCATGAGGCATGGAGAAAAGTTAGGCTAAAAGCACAATCAGTAAATGAATGCAATTGAAGGTCTGGGGAAGCGTGTCAGCATATTTAGAGAGCTTAAGTAAACTTCACTGGGGCAGTTCAACTTGAGTAATGCAAGGGAGTACCTCTACTCCTCTGCTACAGTTCCCCAGTGAAAAGACTGGTGACCTGGGTTATGAAGAAGCATTTCCATGGTGCCTTCTTGTAGCACTGCCACACAATGGAATAAAAAAAACTTCACAGAGTTTGAAGGAGACCAGCATGTTGTAGTGGCATCTCTAGGAATGCTCTGCTTGACGACTGGTCATTTGGGGCTGGTCATTTTTCACTCCAGTTTCTGGACTAAGGAATCACCGCTAATGAAAGGAGCTGATTAACACAGGGAAATACAGTCTGTACCATTACACAACTTGTGCCCTCTATGCAACAAGATTCACTGTTTCATACAGGCAGACCCCAGCGTGGGTGTTGCTCCTTACCTGGAAGAGCCTGGAGGAGGAAGAGGAGCAGAGCCATGAGGCAGGAGAGGAGATTCATGGTAGAAGATCTCAGCCGCAGCGTGGAGACAGGGTGACAACACCAGAAACCTGGAACAAGGGAGCAAGGAGCACTCTTGTTTTTATAGAGCTTTGGGAACAAACCAGGCTGTCCGGGGAACTTTGGCAGTAGGGAATGTGGAAGGCAGGCCATGGAGTAATGAGTACAGCTTGACCGCTGCACACGGCTAAGCCTGAACAATGACAGAGGGTCACAAAAGCCAGCACAGAGGTAACCGTACCTCCTCACCATGCCTCCAGGAGGGCTGCTTCTCAAAACCGACCCACCCCAAGAGCCTCGTTACTGAACTTCAATTTGTTAATTGCTAATGGGCCACGTGGAGAAAATGAGCCGTTGTTTCGGTAGGGGAGAAAGCGCCTGGGAATGACATTGGGTTGTTGGTGATGCTGAGCATAAGAGAGGGCCCAAGGTGCTGCTGCAGTGTTTGCTGTCTTCATTTATTGGTGCTTGAACAAACTAAACAACCAGATTTCTCTCTGAAGGCATTGGTTGGTTGATAAAATCACAGAATCACAGGGGTTGGAAGGGACCTCTGGAGATCACCTAGTCCAACCCCCCACTAAAGCAGGTTCCCTGGGGTAGGCTACTGTGGACTTCATTAAGTTGCCCAAATATATAGGCCTAACTCCTCTGTGATGCTGTGGAGTTTCCAAGACATCTTACAGGACTACCAGGTGAGACATAGGACCTTGGGGCCAACCTGCACATGACTACAACCAAATGCCATTCCTGTGGCCCTGGACACCTGCGTGTGGTCAGTCGATCGAAGCCCAGTGGTGCTGGTCAGTGCAAGGCTCAGACAAACTCAGACACCAAGATGCAGGCGTTTACAATGGGTATGTCTACATATGAGTCAAATGTTTAATTAGTGCTTCTAGGACTGAAATTACATGATTGGCTACACTGGGAGCTTAGGGGCCAACACATGTACGGCAGTTTGTGCTATAGCTACCCTTATACTTAGCTGGTCAAATGCAGAACTAAGAGTATCAGCTGTTCTTCAAAGATGACATAGGGATCCCACGTCGTTTCCAGCTGCTGTTCCACAGATCCCATGCAGCCCCCGTAGCTCCTGCATGATACAAACCAGCCTCAGGCAGATATTTCTAAAATCACAGGGTCTGCGTGTAGATCATTCCTAAGTGTTTTGTTCAGTTTTATACAAAACATAGGACTTCTTGTAGCAAGGGATCCTGTCCCATAATAACCCTCTGCCAACCAGAGCACTCACTATCCAGACCAGCAGACCTGCAATGGTGCCCCTGCTATAGTAGAAGTATGATTTTTTTTGGCTACGTACAACAGGGTCAGGCAGGTAAGGTGAATATTTATTCAGTACTTGACAGTCTGAAAAGGAGCAGAAATGGATTCAAATGCTCCCAGGGTAAAACAAAAGTGGGGCTATGCCTCACGTATCCTAGCTACAGAGCTGTCAGAAAAGAAAAAAATAAAGTATTAATGCCTTCTTACCCAACAGCGTCACACGAAACAGCACTGAAAAATCTTTCTGCCCTACCAATTGCTACAGCAGTGTAATTTCAGCTAATGTAAGCTGCGTCCACACCTTGCTCTGGTGTAACAAAAAACACATTTATTTGTGAAGAGCAAGCCTACCCCTAATTATTGTGCTTGGTACCTCGCTTCCAGTATTTGAATCGACGTGGATTTTAACACTCAGCTCTTGTTGCACTCCTTTCCTTGAATAGAAAGTGTTCCCCTTGTCAGAATTTCTTTATTTGCTGTATCTGCAGTTGATAAAATGGGATTTTTTCTCCTCAGACCCCCATAGAAGTAACCCAGACTAAATGAGTGAACACCAGGAGTCAGATACGGAAGAATAATTCTTTTATTGAGGAATCATGGAAGAGCCTAAGAGGAAAACAGAAATGGTTTGGTGCTTAGAATACAGATCCTTTTTCATTTCTTTACTGTTTGGGAACAAACGCTATTGCTCTGTATTTCTTACAGCATTTGCATGCATTAAAGAGGCATCCCCCACCCCAGACATCATTTACAGGGCAGTAGATTCTGCAAGCACCTGGTCTGTGTGCACACTGGAGAGCATCATAGACATTCTTGCAGCCTGCACATGGCAAACATCGTGTACTGCGACGAGAGGGGGTAGGTATGAAATGTTATCAGATGAATGAGTTAATGGCCAGGCTGCCTGCAAGTCATGTACAAGTAATGTACAAGTAATGTTCAAGTAAGATATAGACAGAGTTTCATGCATATTTCAGTCATATTTCATGACTCATTGACCTGGAAAACAGAAATGGGTTTAGTTTGGACCGAAGTGAGCTGGGACTTCCCCAACTTGTTGCTATGGATTTGTCACTGGGAGAAAAAAAAAGAATTTATTTCTCTTAATATCAAAATTTCTCCACTGTGCAGGTGGAGGACACAAAGGAAATAATATATATATATTTTTTCCAGAACTGTTTAACAAATATAACAAATGTCTGTGAGTAATTTGTAGTTTTCTCTCAGAACTTTGGGGCCAAACTGTTGAAAACTTTGAACAAGCTGCTGATTATTATTCCTCAACTAAGAAAGGACCCTGGGACCACTGTAGGATGGCTAATGACCTGAGGCCCATGGATGTTATGGACAGCGATAGGACAGAGGGATTGAAAACTCTCTTCTCCTAATTTTGTAGGTAGTTTTAGCCTCTTCTGGAGCACACCATGATGTCTTCTCTCACGGAATACTCCAGGTACTTCACTATTCCCTACTAGCACCAAGCTTAGCCATATGAGTCTTGCTGGGGAGAGCAAGGCAAGGGCCCTGTGTTTGTAAAAGCAGGCACATGAAAATCGCACCAAATTTCCATAAAATTAGCCCCATGAAGTTGCCATAAACTCGCTTTTCACCAGGAGGAGGGGGCTACGTGGCCCTGTAAAAATCCATAATTGCTGCTAATTGCCCTGCTAATAACCTCAGTCAGCCTGGGGACTCTGGAAAGCCCTCTTCACCTCACAGTGGCAGATGACAAGGGAGGTAAATAGAGTCACGTACATGATCGTAGAACCTAGAATCATGGAATGGCCTGGGTTGAAAAGGGCCACAAATGTTCATCCAGTTCCAACCCCCTGCTGTGTGCAGGTCGCCAACCAGCAGCCCAGGCTGCCCAGAGCCACATCCAGCCTGGCCTTGAATGCCTGCAGGGATGGGGCATCCACAGCCTCCTTGGGCAACCTGTGCCAGTGCCTCACCACCCTCTGGGGGAAAAATGATGATGGGCTGTCAGGAGTGTCATAGAGCATCATCCTTCTCATTCATCCCTACACCACCACAACCAGGCCCAAATCCCATACCCTGTAGCTCCTCCACCCTCGTGGAGGATGCCATGTGCTTCCTACCTGGCAAACCAAATCCACCTCAGACAGTGATCTCCAGGCTGCAGCTGGAAGGACAGACATTGCCACAGGCTACGTCTCCTGGATCCTGCACTGGCTCATTTTGCTTTCAAACATCTTGGAAAACATGCAGATAGTTATTTAACTTGGTGAGGTCAAGCCAGCACAGATCACTGGTCATTGCCACCTCCACTCACACGTCACACAGATCAAGCATCTGAACATCAGAATATGAAAGTACCAGGAAGAACTTATACCTCAGAGGTGAAGATTGATCTTACTATTCTTCTCATGTAGTTTTGATCTGAATGTGTTGTACATCTCATGGAAAACCTATGTGTCAGTTGAAACGCACCCACCTGGAATTCTGGGGAAAGCTCATTTGGTTTTGTCACTCATGTGGAAATTGCTGGAAGGTCTTCCAGAATAGACTGTGTGCACCACTGTTGTCTCACACCTCAAGTCCTCAAATGGCAGAACCTTTCTCCAAGAACAAGGCATTACAGCAGTATGCAGCCAACTGGATTGGTTCATGCTCTGGGTGCCAGGTCTTGGTTTTCATGGAGCTTACTGTGTTATTAAAATCACAGAATCACAGAATTGTAGGGGTTGGAAGGGACTTCCAGAGATCATCGAGTCCAACCCCCTGCCAAAGCAGGTTCCCTACACCAGGTAAGGAATAGCATTCCAAAATAGCATTAGCTACTTACAAATAAAGACTAGATTAAAGAATAAATCAGATCAAAGAATAGATTAGTGTTGCAGGTTCCTACAGCTGCTGCCTGAAGCCACTGTTCAACACCTGGATGCCCATGGTGTTCTCTTCAACCAAACCAGAACCAAACACTTTAGGGATGCTCATAAGCTAGAAACAAGCTTGCCCACTCTGCTCCAATAAATGTTGTTCTACTTCTCTGTTGACAAACGAAATGGGGATTGTTTTCCAAAACACCTTTCATAAGACAGAATGGAGTCCTTCATTTCCTTTGTCTGCAGATGGGATGCCCACTATTCCTGATTTCTTTCTTTGGAGACCCAGCAATGCATCGCAGGTCCTATGGCAGCATCAGGGAGGCACATGAGGGGCAGATCATCCATTTGCAGACTTAGAGAGCAGCACTCCTAGTTTCACAGGTGTGCAAAGAGCACAGAACAAGTGATTCATGACAGCTTTCTCAAGAATCCATCCCTACAGAGCTCGAGTCATTCTGCCAATAATACATTAAAACTGTCACTTATTCGAGCCTGTTTCTGTATTTATTGATGTTGTTCCGACCCAGTGACCTCGATGCCAACATTATAAACGTCCCCCCCAGCCCATGTGCATTGTTTTCTGCCTTTCTGGTTCCTTTGTTGGCTTTTCCTTCCAGATTTGCAGGTGCCATTGTGTCTGCCAGGCAGCCATGGGACAGGAGCACTGTCTATGTCCATTTTCATACATTCCAGAGAAAAGAATGAAATGAAGGCACTGACAGGGAAATGACAGCTCTCCAGCTGAAGCCACGGGGAATATCTCAGCTCTCAGACAAGATCCAACTTAGTTCTTCATCAGACTAAAGCACTCAGCTTTCTAATACTGTAAACTTACATTTAAATTGCAATAAAATGGCCCAGTTCTGCTTAATTAAGGACTGAAATGGCCCCTTTATTTTATTTATTTATTATTGTTCCATGGGAAGTGAGGGAGAAATGCAGTACCTTGGGTGTGTTAATAACCTGCTGGAAGAGGAGTGCTTTTCCAATAACCTAGCATTCAGAATACTTCCCTGTCATTTCCAGCCTTTGCACGTGAATGCTCTCACTGTCAGACTGTAAGGATTTGTATAGTCATGATCCCTTTCAAATTATGACCATAAATGTCACCCTAGGGAAAACAAATGAACCGTGCTTTGATTTTGGATGAAATTCATTTTGGTAAAGGTTTCTCTCCATAGTCCCTGTTGCTTGTACACATCAGCTGCCCAGATTCAGAGGTGACAAACTGCGACTGTGACTGTGCAGGGGAAGTGATGTATGGAGGTGTTTGTAACAGCTTACACTGTGAAAACGGTTTCTAGTCCTCCTTGGTCCCCAAGACCGTGTAAACACCGAATCCTCTGTTCTCATTCACTGGTGGGTTGGCAGTTGGGCTAGATGGCTTTATTGGCCTTTTCCAACCTTAACGATTCTATGATTCTATAATCCTTGGTGCCTCTGCCCTCAGGAACTTTCATTTTTCTTGTTTGTTGCTTTCCTCTTCTCCCACTTTGTTCCAGGTAGGAAAGACATTTGTACAGACACATATACCCAGTGCTTGCACCTCTGCACTAACTATAAAGGGGAATGCAGAACGCTGGTTCAAATGCAGGCTGCTGTGCTGTCAGCCTCCAAAGGCAGTACAGTGAAACTCAGCCCAGCTGTCTAATTTAGCATCATCTTGTTTTCCTTGGAGTCAAGAGACACAGACTTCAACCCAGCCCTCAGGTATGTCTGTGCTATGTGAGATAAGCAGTGTTTGGTAAAGGCTTGTTCCTTTTTCTTAATCTGGGGAACAGAGATAAGCCCTTCAGTGATCATTCTGCTGTGGAGCTGCTCTTGCTAATCTAACATTCCACACCAATGCAAACAGCCCATGTAACAGCATCCCTGCTCACCTCTCCCAGTCACCTTAGCTAAATCTATAAAGGCCACAGGCAGAAAAACATACTGCATCAACCCCCAAACATATATGCAAAATCACTTCTGATGGGAGCATGGGAAGCACTAAGTATGTATTTATGGTTGTTCCCAGAAGCTGCCTTCATCTCTGGTGCAATTGGCAGGGAAGAACTGTGTATCAGTAATCAATACCCATCAACTTCCCAGGAGAGCTTCAGGTTGGATACTAGGAACAATTTCTTCTCATAAAGAGCAGCGCTGCCATGGCACAGCTGCCCAGGGAGGTGGTGGGGTTCAATGGGTGATGTGGCACTGAGAGACGTGGGCAGTGGGCATGGTGGGGGTGGGTGAGGTTGAGCTGGGTGATCTTAGAGGACTTTTCCAACCTGAATGGCTCTATGGTTCTATGACTGTGATTATTATTGTTGTTACGAGATGAGAACAGTGACACCCAATGGAATAAGCTCTCCTAAAACTGCAGGAGGTTTACTGTGGGAAAGTGCTCCAGTGCTGCAGACAACTGCCCAGCCTTGCCAGCCACAGACACCTCCACCAGGCACCTCTGCTTATGAAATCACCATGGTGGCTCCTGAGAAGTGTCTGCCGGGTGGGTGCAAGTCCTGGAGAAAGGATATGCTGAAGAAGAAGGCAGTCAGTAATGAGGGAGAAGCTTCTACCCTTGAATGAAATGTCATTCAATGTCCTCTAGATAAATTCAGAAAATTGTGCATTATCCCATGGACACTCACAGCACTTGGAAGTGTGAGGAAGGGGAGGAAGCATGAGATGGGAGGATTTCTCATTTGTTTTAAGCTTAAATTCAGTGGCTATGGGATAGTTCTGAAGTAGCCTGGGACACTACAGTTTTGGGAACCAGCTGCTTTCCCCAGCTGCTAATAAAGGTTTGCATTCTAGCAGTGTAAATGAGCAGAATTTGGCTGCAGTTGAAGTTAAATACTTCTCAAACTATCTGATAAGGTGACCTTGTTTATAATGTTTTAAGGGATTTTTAAGGGGTGTTGAGTGGGAAGCAGGATATTCTTGTGATAAATCTGAAAAAGTTGGTACTCTGTCATATCAATATCACACCTACATCAGTGTATTCTATTTAAATATGAAGCTGGTAAGGTCAAGTATCCAAAAATACCTCCTGCATCTCTTCAAGACGTGTTATGCCCCCAGTGTTGTGTCAGGAGTCTAACACACGAACACAGCCCTGTGTGGAGGGATTTGCAGCATGGCCTAGGGATGACTGATCACTCAGCACAGCTTATCTTCTGCAGCTTGCGAGCCCATGAGCTCCTGGCTCCCTCTGGTGGGAATGGCTAGGTGGGAAAGGCTGGCAAAGCCTCTTTTCTCCATCTTCAGCATTGCTAATTTAAGAGAAGGCGTGTGATGACTTTTAAAGGGTCTGGAGAGCAGGGAAGATGTTTGCTTTCTGACACTGAGCTCTAGGGAGTGAGCTCCCCGCATTCAGGATAAATATGTAACTGTAATGTGAACTTTCTTGTAACTTTATATAAACTTTATCTAACATGCAATTGTGGGAAATTGGGTAACTGTGGTGCTACTGGGAGCTCTGCTGCCTGGTGCACAGGTATGCACCTTCCTCCTAGGCACATTCCTAAAGCAGATCCCAGCCCTGCAGTGCTTCACTCTCATCAGTGTCTTCTATAGTCAGAGAACAGTTACAGGATGATGGCACTATTATTTGACACTAAGCCAAACGAGAGCAATGAGAAATGATGTGGGGTGAGATGGAAGTGCAACGAAGCAAAAGTGAGATGGAAAGGAGCAGGAAACATCACTCTTTGAACAAAAGAGGGAATGGGAATGGGAAGGATGGAGGTGATGCTATCCAGATAGCATTCGTGAGAGAGATGTAGCACCAGCTATATTTGAGACAATTGGTTTGCGACCTGGTTTAGGGAACCTGCTTTGGCAGGGGGGTTGGTCTCGATCTCTGCAGGTCCCTTCCAACCCCTACAATTCTGTGATTCTGTGATTGCCCAATGAATTTCTGATAAAGATGTTTTCCTTGGTGGAATACATGACAAAGAAAGAAAACAAGCCAGAGCCAGGGAAAAGCCCAAGCCTAGAAGCCCACCACTTCAAGAGAAACCCCAGGGCAGCCTGAACCCCATCTCTCTCACTACAGTCAGGTTTGGGCAGGATTACACCAAAACAGGAAAGAGCCAGCCTTGAGGTCTGCTGACACACAGTCAGCTGTGTTGCCCATTGCACTATTGGCCCCAGCCTCCTTCCAGCCTGGAGCCTACATGGCCCCCAGCACGTTCTTCCTCTGGCATGGGCATGGCATTGGGGAGGAAGAAGGGAGGTTTCACCTCCTTTCTGACACCTGGTAGGTGTACCAGCCCCAGTGTAGCCTGTTATGGAACAGATGAACAAGTTAAGATGCTGTAACACCAGCTCACCTGCTGGCATTCGGCAGGCAAGGGAAATGGTAGCACGAAGAACAGAAAACCATGAACTCAGCCCACACCACAGCTCCCAGAAGACTTGCATAGAGAGATGCATCTCACAGGTGTATCAGAGTCCTCCCTTTGATTACCATGCAAGCTTCTTCTAGCAATTTGGACTTCACAGGAGAGCACAAGATCAGTCAGAGACACAAGGGCAGAAGCACCTTTCTGCAGGGATGCATGGGCACTCTACCACTGGTCACCTTGGAGAAGACATGTGCACCATCATGACCATGAGCCACAACTCAGCCCACCACCCTGACCTCGTGGCGCAAGGGCAGCGCGTCTGACTCCAGATCAGAAGGTTATGTGTTCAAATCACATCGGGGTCAAACGTGGGGCAAAACTCTGCTCAGTTCTTTTGCCTCTGCTTTTCTGATGGTCTCCCTGCATTTGGGGGGGGGCGTTTTGACAAGCCTTTACAGGTGGGGAACCTGGACCTACCTGGGGTGGTTCTTGCATGGAAGTGTAACGGGGCAGGTGCACATCAGAGGTCAATGTTAATGATATTGCTGTTAGACATCTTCGCTAAATTACTCAGTGATAGGACGGGGTGAAACCTGAGTCCACAAATGACACCGGTGGGGTCAAACACCGTTCAGAGTGACCTGGAGTTCAGCAAAAGAAAACGTAGCGTCGTTCAACTGGGATGGAAAAATCCCACGCAGCACTGCAGCAAGACCTTTATGGAGAGAACAAGCAGGTGCCCCGAGAAGATTAAAAGTGTCGAGCCAGGCAGGAGTCGAACCTGCAATCTCCTGATCCGTAGTCAGGCGCGTTATCCATTGCGCCACTGGCCCTCGCCCCATGTGAGCCCTGGGGGCTTCCATCACCGCATGGCATTGGGTGGGATGTAGATAAGGAATAATGATGATCCCAACTGTGCTTGTCCTGACCACGCTGTCTGGAAACAAGGATTTTTTTTCTGTCTATACAAGCATCTGGGCCACTGCTGGATCACAGGGATGTGTTCACATCTAGCATGATCCCATGACTGCACTGGAAGCTGAAGTTTTGTTTTCATTTCCCTCCATTCTGTTGGCTGAAGGTACAGTGTTCAAGTTGAGGGCAAGGTCAAACCTCTCTATTAGTGGTCAAGGTGTGGTCATTTGTCGTGGTGATCTGGGTTCCAGCTCTGCTCCCGTTGGGGTGCCCAGCTGTGTGACAAGCACAGGCCATTGTCCTTTGTGCCACTGGCCCCTCACCAGCCTGGTGCCTCCCAGTGGGCTTCTTGTATCCTTCATTCTGTAAAACATCCTCTGTGCCCATCACACAGACCTTCAGCAACATCCAAAGCAATACCAAGGAGTGAGAAACATCAACTGGACTTATGACCACTGACCACAGCCCACCAACAGTCATCCAGCCACTTTGCCAGCTGCCTTGTGATCGAGCCCCATCGGTTGTTCTGGGAGATCCTGTGGAGGTCAGCTGAAAGCCACGGAAAACGATGGTCCTTTGTCTCCTCTTGACTGCTAAGGAAG